GAATTAAACCTCACGTCACTGGGAGACAGAGGAGTTAGGGGAGACATGATCACCACATACAAGATTCTCAGAGGAATTGATAGGGTAGATAAAGACAGGCTATTTAACACAAGGAGCACACGCACTAGGGGACACAGGTGGAAATTGAGTGCCCAAATGAACCACAGAGACATAAGAAATAATTTTTCAGTGTCAGAGTAGTAGACAAATGGAATGCATTAGGCAGTGATGTGGTGGAGGCTGACTCCATACACAGTTTCAAATGTAGATATGATAGAGCCCAGTAGGCTCAGGAACCTGTACACCAGTTGATTGACGGTTGAGAGGCCAGAACAGGTCCTGACCAAGGACCACACTGGTCGGCACCGCACGTAAGCACTCCCAACTCCTCTTACGAAACCTTTACATCTTTTCCTCATTCAATATGTGCCCAAATCACCAAAAGTATTGTTCAGCGCCTATTTTAAGGTCAATAATTTGCCCTAGACCCATAAGGTAAGACACATGTGCTACACCATTAAGGTAAGACATGTGGTTGATGTCCATCGGGTAACTTACCCTTGCTCAATAGATAAGCAATTAAATACATAAAGGAAGCGACCCATAGTATTTCACAAAGGCGTATGTGGATTTTGTTGGGGGGCGTGTCGCGTGGGGAGGGGGGTTGAGGGGGGGGGGGCGTTTTGGGGGCGTGACACAGAGAGGGGGGGGGGGGATGTGGGGCTATTTAAGGGGGCAGGGTGATGGGCGTGGTTTGGTACGAATTGGGGCAAGTTTTGGGGGGTAAGGGAGGGGTTGAGGCGGGGGCGGGGGGGGGGGGGGGGGGGTTGGGGGGCCGAATTGCGACCAAGGTGGGGGGAGGGGATGGGGCAGAGGGGCCAAAGGGGGGAAGGGGGGCAGCCAGGAACCTGGTGGTGAGTCAGAGGGGCTGGGCACGTCACAGGTCACCTAACACGCCTCGCTCACCTGTACTCACCTAAGTCACCTAGTTGTGCTTGCGGGGGTTAAGCTCTGGCTCTTTGGTCCCGCCTCTCAACCGTCAATCAACAGGTGTACAGGTTCCTGAGCCTACTGGGCTCTTATCATATCTACACTTGAAACTGTGTATGGAGTCAGCCTCCACCACATCACTGCCTAATGCATTCCATTTATTAACTACTCTGACACTAAAAAAGTTCTTTCTAACGTCCCTGTGGCTCATTTGGGCACTCAGTCTCCACCTGTGTTCCCTTGTTCGCGTCCCACCCGTGTGTGTGTGTGTGCTAGGAGCTCTCTCACCAATTTGTGCCTGCAGGGTCAAATCTAAGCTCTTGGGACCCCGTCTGTGGGTCCCGACCCGTGGGTGCCTGCCTGCGCATGCGTGTGAGTGTACCATTGCTCACCCAGCAGAAGGTCAGAGGAAGCTGTCAACCGGCCCACAGGATAGACGCAATTTTATCAGTGACATTCGTGCTTGCCTGACCTCTTCGTTACTCTCATGCACTCACTCCCAACACTCCCATCTTACTCCTCTCACTCAGAGGAGAGAGAGAGAGAGAGAGAGAGAGAGAGAGAGAGAGAGAGAGAGAGAGAGAGAGAGAGAGAGAGAGAGAGAGAGAGAGAGAGAGAGAGAGACAGAGAGACACAGACAGAGAGAGAGAGGTTTCTAAGAACTGCTTTCAAATAAGTTGGAAGAGAAATGACAGCACTTAAGATAAGTTATCATTCTAACAACAATGTAACACGGACTCGTCTCAACAAAAGTCTGAGTGTAAACAAAGCAAGACAAAGGCACTGTAAGTGCACACACTTAGCGGATCAAACACCAATTACTTGTACGAGACTTTAAACCACCTTAAACAGACCTTTAACTTAAACAACAATTACTTGTACGAGACTTTAAACCACCTTAAACAGACCTTTAACTTAAACAACAATTACTTGTACGAGACTTTAAACCACCTTAAACAGACCTTTAACTTAAACAACAATTACTTGTACGAGACTTTAAACCACCTTAAACAGACCTTTAACTTAAACAACAATTACTTGTACGAGACTTTAAACCACCTTAAACAGACCTTTAACTTAAACAACAATTACTTGTACGAGACTTTAAACCACCTTAAACAGACCTTTAACTTAAACAACAATTACTTGTACGAGACTTTAAACCACCTTAAACAGACCTTTAACTTAAACAACAATTACTTGTACGAGCCTTTAAACCACCTTAAACAGACCTGTAACTCAAACAACAATTACTTGTACGAGCCTTTAAACCACCTTAAACAGACCTGTAACTCAAACAACAATTACTTGTACGAGCCTTTTAAACCACCTTAAACAGACCTGTAACTCAAACAACAATTACTTGTACGAGCCTTTAAACCACCTTAAACAGACCTGTAACTCAAACAACAATTACTTGTACGAGCCTTTAAACCACCTTAAACAGACCTGTAACTCAAACAACAATTACTTGTACGAGCCTTTAAACCACCTTAAACAGACCTTTAACTTAAACAACAATTACTTGTACGAGACTTTAAACCACCTTAAACAGACCTTTAACTTAAACACCAATTACTTGTACGAGCCTTTAAACCACCTTAAACAGACCTTTAACTTAAACAACAATTCGAAACACACAACTGTGTTGAGCAAATCAACAAGGGCCGTGACGAGGGCTCGAACCTTCGTCCGAGAGGATCTCAGACGCTGCCTTAAGTGAAGGTTGTTGTTGTTGTTGTTTAAGACTCGCTACCTAGAACAAAAAGTTCCAAGTAGCACGGGCTATGGTGAGCCCCGTAAAGTGAAGGTCAATCACACTCAACACTTATCTATAATGATAATAAAGTTTAGCTACAATGCAGCCTAATCGTCCTTTTTTCGAAGTATTTATAGTAACTATAAGGACCATAGTATGTATACCAGGGGCCTGACAGCTGAGAGGACGGCGCTACGGATTCGTAGTCCTGAGGTTCCGGGTTCGATTCCCGGTGGAAGCGGAAACAAATAGGCAGTTTCTTTCACTCAAATGCCCCTGTTACCTAGCAGTAAATAGGTACCTGGGAGTTAGACAGCTGCTACGGGCTGCTTCCTGAGTGTGTAACAAAAAAGGAGGCCTGATCGAGGACCGGGCCCCGGGGACGCTAAGCCCCGAAACCATCTCAATAAAACTGGCGTACAGCAAATTAGAAAGTAGAAATAGGCACTAATGAGTTAGACAAATTGGAAACCTATTTATTGTGTTGTACAAACTAACCTAACCTCCCTAGGCCTAATACACGATATCCGAGGCCTAATATAGTACATATGTGTACTATACTAGGCCTAGCAATATTTAAGCTAGTTTTTTAGCTTCAATTTATTTTAAGAATTCCTTTACTAGTCAGTAAACTACTATTTAAAAGTAGTTTAGAACATAAGTAATTTATGCAGTAGTTGTAATTCGTAAATTCGTACGTACGAATGCGTGATTATTGACGATAGTCACAATAGGTACTATCTAAATAGGAGGAGGAAAATAGGATTGATCACCTGTATTGACCAGTTACGGTCATTACAAGAGCGATCAACACTATTACATAACGATCGTTACAGGTTATCTTTCAGGCTGTTATATCGTATGATCTCTGATCATTATTTTACAGGCCTAATTATTAGCAGTATAAGCCTAATTTTTTGTCACGATTATAGAGGTCTAATGACATGTCATTACTCGTAATTATTTTGCAATGATCAATAAAAATCCAAACCACAATCCTTGCCAGTAATCATCTATAATTACTCAACCCAATTATGCGAATTATTATCGAACATTATCTGTAAAGTCATTAGTTTGTAATTATCGTAAGTCATTAACTAAAATCAGTATATACAATTATCTATAATCAATATATTCATTAACGAGTACCGTTATCAGCAGGAATATATATTATATATATATATATATATATATATATATATATATATATGTCGTACCTAGTAGCCAGAACTCACTTCTCAGCCTACTATGCAAGGCCCGATTTGCCTAATAAGCCAAGTTTTCATGAATTAATGTTTTTTCGTCTACCTAACCTACCTAACCTAACCTAACCTAGCTTTTTTTGGCTACCTAACCTAACCTTACCTATATATATAGGTTAGGTTAGGTTAGGTAGGGTTGGTTAGGTTCGGTCATATATCTACGTTAATTTTAACTCCAATAAAAAAAATTGACCTCATACATAGTGAAACGGGTAGCTTTATCATTTCATAAGAAAAAAATTATAGTAAATATATTAATTCAGGAAACTTGGCTTATTAGGCAAATCGGGCCTTGAATAGTAGGCTGAGAAGTGAGTTCTGGCTACTAGGTACGACATATATATATATATATATATGCGAACAAGAATGGTCCCCAAGCATAAATGCGAATGAAAACTCCACACCCCAGAAGGGACTCGAACCCAGACCCCCAGGATCACAATGCAACTGGTGTACAAAATACCTTAAACCACTCGACCATCAGTGATGGTCTGGGGTTCGAGTCTCTTCTAGGGTGTGGAATTTTCGGATTATAGAAACTTTTACAGTAACTCTACAACCCAAGCTGCCCCCTTGGCCTAATATACGCCATTTTAGGCCTAATTTAGTATGTATATGCGCTATACTAGATATAGGAAAGTTGCCTTTTTTTCAAACTTTCTACAGGTTTCAAACGTGTTTTTTTAAGGGGTTCAACCGTGTGTTTTTGTACGGTCCACCATAAGTCGCAATAAGTACTGTTGAGCGTGGAGTCCACCATAAGTCGCAATAAGTACTGTTGTGCTTGGAGTCCACCATAAGTCGCAATAAGTACTGTGGTGCTTGGAGAACGAGGGCAATTAAGTCTAAACGTCACAGTGTGTATAATTGGTGTAACAATTATCTGTCAGTTATCGTTAACTAGAGAATTACAAAGTGTAATCATGCTTTTTTAAACTGTAATTATCTATCATTCATAACGGCTCCCTATAATCATACTCAACAAGCAGGAGGAAAAGGAGAAAGGGTGGTCACCGAGACGTTATTTCCGGACGCCTAGACCGTATTTCCGGTCGCCAAGACCGTATTTCCGGTCGCCTAGACCGTATTTCCAGTCGCCAAGACCGTATTTCCGGTCGCCTAGACCGTATTTCCGGTCGCCAAGACCGTATTTCCGGTCGCCTAGACCGTATTTCCAGTCGCCTAGACCTTATTTCCGGTCGCCTAGACCGTATTTCCGGTCGCCTAGACCGTATTTCTGGTCGCCTAGACCGTATTTCTGGTCGCCTAGACCGTATTTCCGGTCGCCTAGACCGTACTTCCGGTCGCCTAGACCGTATTTCTGGTCGCCTAGACCGTATTTCCTGTCGCCTAGACCGTATTTCTGGTCGCCTAGACCGTACTTCCGGTCGCCTAGACCGTATTTCTGGTCGCCTAGACCGTATTTCCTGTCGCCTAGACCGTATTTCTGGTCGCCTAGACCGTATTTCCGGTCGCCTAGACCGTATTTCTGGTCGCCTAGACCGTATTTCTGGTCGCCTAGACCGTATTTCCGGTCGCCTAGACCGTACTTCCGGTCGCCTAGACCGTATTTCTGGTCGCCTAGACCGTATTTCCTGTCGCCTAGACCTTATTTCCGGTCGCCTAGACCGTATTTCCGGTCGCCTAGACCGTATTTCTGGTCGCCTAGACCGTATTTCTGGTCGCCTAGACCGTATTTCTGGTCGCCTAGACCGTACTTTCGGTCGCCTAGACCGTATTTCTGGTCGCCTAGACCGTATTTCCTGTCGCCTAGACCGTATTTCCGGTCGCCTAGACCGTACTTCCGGTCGCCTAGACCTTATTTCCGGTCGCCTAGACCGTACTTCCGGTCGCCTAGACCTTATTTCCGGTCGCCTAGACCGTACTTCCGGTCGCCTAGACCGTACTTCCGGTCGCCTAGACCGTACCTCCGGTCGCCTAGCCCGTACTTCCGGTCGCCTAGACCGTACTTCCGGTCGCCTAGACCGTACTTCCGGTCGCCTAGACCGTACTTCCGGTCGTCAAGACTTACACAATATATATACATTATTTACAGCACCCCGACAACTCGGGCAAATAAACAGTGCTTATATCGAGGTCTTCCAACGAGGCTTCCGAGGTCGTAATTTACGAACTGGTCTCTTACCACACTTTACGCTAGTGAGGGTGTTGTAAGTGGCACTGGAAGTATATTTGGAGAGGTGTACACCAAGTGTGTACACCAGGGGCACCTGGAGGTGTGTGTGTGTACACTAGGGGCACCTGGAGGTGTGTGTGTGTACACTAGGGGCACCTGGAGGTGTGTGTGTGTACACTAGGGGCACCTGGAGGTGTGTGTGTGTGTACACTAGGGGCACCTGGAGGTGTGTGTGTGTACACTAGGGGCACCTGGAGGTGTGTGTGTGTGTACACTAGGGGCACCTGGAGGTGTGTGTGTGTACACTAGGGGCACCTGGAGGTGTGTGTGTGTACACTAGGGGCACCTGGAGGTGTGTGTGTGTACACTAGGGGGCACCTGGAGGTGTGTGTGTGTACACTACGGGTACCTGGAAGTGTGTGTGTGTACACTAGGGGCACCTGGAGGTGTGTGTGTGTACACTAGGGGCACCTGGAGGTGTGTGTGTGTGTACACTAGGGGCACCTGGAGGTGTGTGTGTGTTCACTAGGGGCACCTGGAGGTGTGTGTGTGTACACTACGGGTACCTGGAGGTGTGTGTGTGTACACTAGGGGCACCTGGAGGTGTGTGTGTGTACACTAGGGGCACCTGGAGGTGTGTGTGTGTACACTACGGGCACCTGGAGGTGTGTGTGTGTACACTACGGGTACCTGGAGGTGTGTGTGTGTACACTAGGGGCACCTGGAGGTGTGTGTGTGTACACTAGGGGCACCTGGAGGTGTGTGTGTGTACACTAGGGGCACCTGGAGGTGTGTGTGTGTACACTACGGGTACCTGGAGGTGTGTGTGTGTACACTAGGGGCACCTGGAGGTGTGTGTGTGTACACTAGGGGCACCTGGAGGTGTGTGTGTGTACACTAGGGGTACCTGGAGGTGTGTGTGTGTACACTAGGGGCACCTGGAGGTGTGTGTGTGTACACTAGGGGCACCTGGAGGTGTATGTGTGTACACTAGGGGCACCTGGAGGTGTGTGTGTGTACACTAGGGGCACCTGGAGGTGTGTGTGTGTACACTAGGGGCACCTGGAGGTGTGTGTGTGTACACTACGGGCACCTGGAGGTGTGTGTGTGTACACTAGGGGCACCTGGAGGTGTGTGTGTGTACACTAGGGGCACCTGGAGGTGTGTGTGTGTACACTAGGGGCACCTGGAGGTGTGTGTGTGTACACTAGGGGCACCTGGAGGTGTGTGTGTGTACACTAGGGGCACCTGGAGGTGTGTGTGTGTACACTAGGGGCACCTGGAGGTGTGTGTGTGTACACTAGGGGCACCTGGAGGTGTGTGTGTGTACACTAGGGGCACCTGGAGGTGTGTGTGTGTACACTAGGGGCACCTGGAGGTGTGTGTGTGTACACTAGGGGCACCTGGAGGTGTGTGTGTGTACACTACGGGTACCTGGAGGTGTGTGTGTGTACACTAGGGGCACCTGGAGGTGTGTGTGTGTACACTAGGGGCACCTGGAGGTGTGTGTGTGTACACTAGGGGCACCTGGAGGTGTGTGTGTGTACACTAGGGGCACCTGGAGGTGTGTGTGTGTACACTAGGGGCACCTGGAGGTGTGTGTGTGTACACTAGGGGCACCTGGAGGTGTGTGTGTGTACACTAGGGGCACCTGGAGGTGTGTGTGTGTACACTAGGGGCACCTGGAGGTGTGTGTGTGTACACTAGGGGCACCTGGAGGTGTGTGTGTGTACACTAGGGGCACCTGGAGGTGTGTGTGTGTACACTAGGGTGTGTGTGTACACTAGGGGCACCTGGAGGTGTGTGTGTGTACACTAGGGGCACCTGGAGGTGTGTGTGTGTACACTAGGGGCACCTGGAGGTGTGTGTGTGTACACTAGGGGCACCTGGAGGTGTGTGTGTGTACACTAGGGGCACCTGGAGGTGTGTGTGTGTACACTAGGGGCACCTGGAGGTGTGTGTGTGTACACTAGGGGCACCTGGAGGTGTGTGTGTGTGTACACTAGGGGCACCTGGAGGTGTGTGTGTGTACACTAGGGGCACCTGGAGGTGTGTGTGTGTACACTAGGGGCACCTGGAGGTGTGTGTGTGTACACTAGGGGCACCTGGAGGTGTGTGTGTGTACACTTGGGGTACCTGGAGGTGTGTGTGTGTACACTAGGGGCACCTGGAGGTGTGTGTGTGTACACTAGGGGCACCTGGAGGTGTGTGTGTGTACACAAGGTGGAAGAGAAGGTGTACGTGGACCAGGTGTTTAGACAAAGCGCTAAGAGCCCCTTCAAGAGTCGCAGAAGGTGGATAGAAAGATTTATTGCGAGGAAAGACATACAGAAGCCGACTTGGGAGACGTCTTACACTGCCACCTGGCTCACGGACTGTTCTTGGTGGAGTGCCACCTGGCTCACGGACTGTTCTTGGTGGAGTGCCACCTGGCTCACGGACTGTTCTTGGTTGAGTGCCACCTGGCTCACGGACTGTTCTTGGTGGAGTGCCACCTGGCTCACGGACTGTTCTTGGTGGAGTGCCACCTGGCTCACGGACTGTTCTTGGTGGAGTGCCACCTGGCTCACGGACTGTTCTTGGTGGAGTGCCACCTGGCTCACGGACTGTTCTTGGTGGAGTGCCACCTGGCTCACGGACTGTTCTTGGTGGAGTGCCACCTGGCTCACGGACTGTTCTTGGTGGAGTGCCACCTGGCTCACGGACTGTTCTTGGTGGAGTGCCACCTGGCTCACGGACTGTTCTTGGTGGAGTGCCACCTGGCTCACGGACTGTTCTTGGTGGAGTGCCACCTGGCTCACGGACTGTTCTTGGTGGAGTGCCACCTGGCTCACGGACTGTTCTTGGTGGAGAGTCACCTGGCTCACGGACTGTTCTTGGTGGAGTGCCACCTGGCTCACGGACTGTTCTTGGTGGAGTGCCACCTGGCTCACGGACTGTTCTTGGTGGAGTGCCACCTGGCTCACGGACTGTTCTTGGTGGAGTGCCACCTGGCTTACGGACTGTTCTTGGTGGAGTGCCACCTGGCTCACGGACTGTTCTTGGTGGAGTGCCACCTGGCTTACGGACTGTTCTTGGTGGAGTGCCACCTGGCTCACGGACTGTTCTTGGTGGAGTGCCACCTGGCTCACGGACTGTCCTTGGTGGAGTGCCACCTGGCTTACGGACTGTTCTTGGTGGAGTGCTACCTGGCTCACGGACTGTCCTTGGTGGAGAGTCAACTGGCACACGGACTGTCCTTGTTGGAGGGCCACCTGGCACACGGACTGTCCTTGTTGGAGAGTCAACTGGCACACGGACTGTCCGTGGTAGAGGGCCAACTGGCACACGGACTGTCCGTGGTAGAGGGCCAACTGGCACACGGACTGTCCTTGTTGGAGAGTCACCTGGCACACGGACTGTCCGTGGTAGAGGGCCAACTGGCACAAGGACTGTCCTTGTTGGAGTGCCAACTGGCACACGGACTGCCATCTACTCTGACACCTGCCCCCATAAGTATGAACACTTCCCAGGTGGAAAGTCACTAATTACAACTAAATATCAACACTGCCTTCCAATGGGATTCTAAAAAAAAAATCCTTACAGCCTCCAACGGTGACAAATTCCAATTACTATGGTACATAAGGACACATAATGTTAAAAGGAGCGCATGATACATATCTCCTCATAGAAGCACTTACCAAGTCGTAGATTTTGGAATGATAATGTCAGAAGACCTTACGTTTAGAGAGCAGCACAATGAAGCAATCATACTAGCTAGGAAAATGGTAGAATGGGTTTTGTTTGTGGAATATTCTTCAGTTTTCACCTCCCATTTCAAGGCCAGCGAGATTGGCAGAGTGTAGATAAGAGATAATGGAGAGTCTTTACTTCCCGTACAGAATACTTGGCACAACTTACATACTGAGAGTGACAATGTCAGACCACGGAGGAAAAATGAAACAGGAAATTTCCTTAAGTACTTTCGTATATTAAATACATCTTCAGAAGGTGAAGATGTATTTAATATACGAAAGTACTTAAGGAAATTTCCTGTTTCATTTTTCCTCCGTGGTCTGACATTGTCACATTCTTAATCACGTGTTTATTTTCGTGATATACACACATACTGAGAGTGTTTGAAAGCACTCCAATTTAACTCTTGGGAACGGAGACGAGAGAGAGAGATATCTTGAGGTTATCTTAAGATGATTTCGGGGCTTTTTAGTGTCCCCGCGGCCCGGTCCTCGACCAGGCCTCCACCCCCCAGGAAGCAGCCCGTCATAGCTGACTAACACCCAGGTACCTACTTTACTGCTAGGTAACAGAGGGCATAGGATGAAAGAAACTCTGCCCATTGTTTCTCGCCGGCGCCTGGGATGGAACCCAGAACCACAGGATGACAAGTCCAGCGTGCTGTCCACTCGGCCCCCACAGACACATACAAACACAAGCCTGCGTAGTAACATTGCGACATAGTTGAGTGAGAGATACGACACGAAGTGTAAAACATATCCAAAGAAAAACTGTGAGCAATAATCACTATCAGAGGACACAGTGTAAACATTAGAGGCCAACTGTTGTTGTTGTTAAAGATTCGCTACCTGGAACACAGTTCCAAGTAGCACGGGCTATGGTGAGCCCGTAGTAGAGGCCAACGACTCTTCAATTTCCTGCCAAGATATACATGCACTGAACTATATGTTTAACTGATCTCTAACCCTGTCTATGGAGGACAGAAGAAAATGTATATATGCTGGTTAGCATTGTAAATGTCTGGCCACGTTTGTGGTAGAATATAATAATAATAAAAAAAAAAGATACATGAAATGTCGTTGGATTAAAAGCAAAAGTTTTCAAAAAGAGAGTTCGACTAGTTATTTATTACTAGAGATAGTGGATCAACCTTGCTGTGATGGTTAGGTGGGTGTACGAGGCTACAAAGACAGAGCAAGCAGTTACTAAGGAAGCCTGGTCACACGCAGGTATGAGGCAGTAGAAGGACTCTCGAAATTATCCACAGGTAACTGGCGCCACACTGAGAACGACCTGCACGACTACACGTCAAGACAGGTGCCAGGGCCAGGAGTCACGGTGCCAGACACGGGGAACCTTGGCACAGGACCACCACCACCACCTCGAGGCCAAAGAACGTTACAATTAGTGCCCGAGGGAGACGCAGGAGGAGGTCATTACCACACTTGAGGAAGTGCTGACACCGTCACGGCGGCGGGTTCAGTTACTGTGACACGCGGCAGACACCACCGTAGCTGCTGTTACTCTCTCCATGTGTTACTCTGTTACTGTGACAACCTTGTCAGCAACACCACTAGTGACACCAGAGACCCCACAACACCACCACCACCATCCCCCAACACCACCACCACCCCCCAACCACCACCACCACCCCCCAAACACCACCACCACCCCCCAACCCACCACCACCCCCCAACCACCACCACCACCCCCCAACACCACCACCACCCCCCAACCACCACCACCACCCCCCAACACCACCACCACCCCCCAACACCACCACCACCCCCCAACACCACCACCACCATCCCCCAACACCACCACCACCCCCCAACACCACCACCACCCCCCAACACCACCACCACCCCCCAACACCACCACCACCCCCCAACACCACCACCATCCCCCAACACACACCCCACATACACACACATTATCGTCCATTACCCCTGACCTTCTATGAGGATATCAAATAACAGTTCATTACTGTCACACCTTAGTAACAGGGAACAAAGGGAGTGAGAGATCACCAGGACCTTAAACCCCTCAATAAACTGCCTCTCCTGGAAGGTTGTGACTGCCATAACACGAGCTGTGGATAGGGGATAGTCTCGCAGGCGGGGACGTGTACAGGATAGCGAGACGTGTATTAAGTACATGGGCGAGGAGCGCGAGTCCCGCAATGTATCGCGGCAGAGCACCGCGAGGAAGTGCGCGACCAAACATGGCGGCAGGGCACCCCCAGGGCGCGCGCGGGAACTGATAACGGAGAGGACTTGTCAGCTGCAGGAAGCCGCCGGTTTGAATGAGACGGACAGTTAAGCTTCCTCACAAAGGCTAGATAAGGGGTTGGCTTGTCCAGAGATGGTAGCGGCGTGTCTGGCCGACCTTGTCACACACACACAGTAACAGCGGCGTGTCTGGCCGACCTTGTCACACACACACAGTAACAGCAGCGTGTCTGGTCGACCTTGTCACACACACACAGTAACAGCGGCGTGTCTGGCCGACCTTGTCACACACACACAGTAACAGCGGCGTGTCTGGTCGACCTTGTCACACACACACAGTAACAGCGGCGTGTCTGGCCGACCTTGTCACACACACACAGTAACAGCAGCGTGTCTGATCGACCTTGTCACACACACAGTAACAGCAGCGTGTCTGGCCGACCTTGTCACACACACACAGTAACAGCAGCGTGTCTGGTCGACCTTGTCACACACACAGTAACAGCAGCGTGTCTGGCCGACCTTGTCACACACAGTAACAGCGGCGTGTCTGGGCCCACGTTACGACGCCACTAAGCAAGAAAAAGACTCGGTTGAATAATTAACATTCAAGACTACATATTACCTTATGCAGGAGGTCAGGGCTGAGGGTCGGCGCCACACACACACTCACCTGCAAATGAAGAACACACTGAATAATTCATACCATGGATGTGATCATCAGAGTCTCACGGAGCATATGTGTAGTGAGAGATAAAGGGTGTGGGGGGAAGAGGAGATGGGCACCACCGCTGTTGATGTGCATGTGAAGGTCACATGACCTTCCCCGCCACACATCATTAAGTAGTTACAACACATAGGTGCTCTCTCACACACACACCACCTGTGTGCCTCACAGATAGAACCTGCACCACTATGATACACCAGACAGGAGACATCTCCCGTCACGCAGGGTGCAGTCGAACCTCCACAGATCTCCAGTATCAGCTCTTGATACTGGTAATGGCTCAAAAGGGCCACCACTTACGGGCTATTCATGCCCGTGCCACCTCTTGGGTGGCTTAATCTTCATCAATCAATCAATCGGATACACCACTCCCCCCTCCCCCCCCCCCCGCCTCTCATCAATCCCAAAAGGAAATTGGAAAAGGTTCAAAGGATTACCACAAGTCTCGTCCCCGGAACTAATTTGTCTTGGGAAGGGAGCCGTGAAAAATGAAATGAGCACCATAAAAGAGAAGAGCCGAAGGAGTCTCAAAAGTATTGGGTATTTAGAGGAGGCAAAACAGGTAAGGGTAAACCTGTTAGCAGCCACTGAACAACACACGAAGAGAGCCACAGACACGTAAGACCTACAGGCACGTAAGAGCTACAGACACGTAAGAGCTACAGGCACGTAAGAGCTACAGACACGTAAGAGCTACAGACACGTAAGAGCCGGGTTAGATTCCTGGGGTGGGAATCCTTGTACCTAACCGCAGGTACAAGGATGAAGATGCAACCTGTTGCACCGTGTATACATCCATCACCTGTATGTTGAGTGTGCAAAAGCAGCTGAAAAGTTCTCCTGCTCTCACACTGTCCTCTAACCCCTTCCATTCCCTCCCACATATCCCCTATACCCTCCCACATACCTCTCAATACGCACCCTATTATCTACCCATATATCCCCGGCCCATTATACCCCCATATATCCCCCCATACGCCTCCCAGCTACCCCCACATCCCCCATACACACCTCTGGGCCCCATACACTCAGCACAATCATACTAAAAGCTGGAGTACAGAGCTTCAAGAGTCCTGTCGAGGGGCCGACATTGCTCCTCCGGCTCTCCCTCGAGAGGGAGAGCTTATTGAGGGGAAGGAGGAGGAAGGGAGAGAGGGAGAGAGGCAGCGAGTGACAGAGGAGCGCAAAGGAATGGAATGAAAATCGAAAATAACAAGAGACGAAGACAATACCTGGAACATGGGAGAGGAGAAGAGACAAAAGAGCTGACGAAGAGAAGACATGCGGGAATGATGAAGAAAGGAGGAGGAGGAGGAGGAAGGGGGAGAGACAAAGGAATAACAAGGGGGGGGGGGAGGGGGGACCCAGATAATCAGACATTAGAGAGGATAATGAGAGCTGGCAGGGAGGAGGAGGAGGAGGAGGAAGGGGAACTGAGATGAAAGAGAATGGGGAGGGGTTGGAGGAGAGATAAGGATAAGAGAGAAGGGTGTAGAATAAGGGGAAGGCTGAGAAATATGTCAGAGACAAAATAAAGATTGACGAAGATAGAGAGAGAGAGAGAGAGAGAGAGAGAGAGAGAGAGAGAGAGAGAGAGAGAGAGAGAGAGAGAGAGAGAGAGAGAGAGAGAGAGAGAGAGAGGGAGAGAGGGAGAGAGGGAGAGAGGGAGAGAGGGAGAGAGGGAGAGAGAGAGAGAGAGAGAGAGAGAGAGAGAGAGAGAGAGAGAGAGAGAGAGAGAGAGAGAGAGAGAGAGAGAGAGAGAGAGAGAGAGAGAGGAT